GCTTTACACTTTGTTTATGCATAGAGTTGAGGATTTGCATTTATATGTTTGTACAGAGAACTAAATTCCCTCTCAAACTAAGGTCACAGTCCTTGGAAAGCAGTGGTTCTTCCCAGACATACACTCTGATGTGGCTTTTGAGTCCGGAGGTACCATCCAAGTTTTTGGCGGACTGTAATCTAATTTAATTGCTTAACCTAATTTAACTGATGGTGAGTTGTAGAATGGTGCAAAAATGAAAATAACTTTGTTTCCAAATTCTGTTAAGAAATGGCAATGCTCTAGCTGTAGTAAACAAGCCTAAGGCAAGAGCATGCTACATAAAATAACCTAATTACGATTAAGCCAATCAGAGCATTTTCCTCAGATGAATAGGCAGGCAGGGATTTGACAGGTACTCCAATTTAATTGTGTGGAAAACGTGTATGTGCAGCAAAGTGCTTCAGAAGCTTTATCTCATGGATCAGGTTCTCTGTTGTTACTGAGCAGCAGTGGAAGTCAGTTGGCTGTAAGAGGATATTTCTGTGCAGATCTTTCTCATCAGCTACAGCAAGGGCAGATTCCTGGCCCTGCTGAAGACCATGGGAGGTTTGATGTTGAGTGCCAATGTAGTAGAACTCACCCTAAATGTCACTAGTAGTACCCTGATGGCATCAGTGAGCAGAGGTGTGTTGGCAAGGTTTGCTCTACCTGGTGCTCCTGAGACAGTAATGAATTGAATGTTGCAAATATCCCCATCATTGAAGACAAGGTGTGATGTTTGCATGGCAGCTCCAGTTCACCCTGTGGAAGAGGCATTCAAGTCTAGAGATGGTCTCAGCCCTCTGAACTGTAGAAACTGGGAAGCTGTTGGGAGGGCAGGAGCAGTGTTTTGTCTTGGGCAGGGAGAAGGGCATGTCTGGACTCCAGGATGGCTTGGGGTTGGGCGAAAGTGGAACCTTAGCAATTACAAGCCTGAGGATTATGAAAGTAAGCTAGTACAAAACTTTATGATGTTAATTTCGTTTTCTTGACCGGATTCCTTCTGTAAGCCTAGCAAATCCTGATGATGAGACAAATTTCTATTATCAGTGCCAACACAAAGGCACTAGAAACCGCAAGACAGAGGAATGCTGAGGCAGTCTAATGGAGCGTACAACTCTGCCTAAACTACTTGCATGTTTTGTTTTGTTCTTTTAATTCTTGAAAAGAATTAGAAAAGGATGGCAAATCCACCAGAAGAGAAACAAAACCACAGGGATCTTTGTCTGTGGATTAAGCACTTTCAAGAATGAATAAGAATAAATGCTTCCCTGTTTTCACTGTTCTGTATTCTAGGATAAAGAAACCTAAGTTACTTGCTGAGGTATTCTGATTTTCTTATTTGGACTTTGTGATTTTAGAGAGCGTATTTCACGGGACTGTACATCCCAGGGGAAGAAATTAAGATCAGGTATGAGAGAAACACACCTAAGGATCTAAAATACTTTGAGTTTCTCAAAGATGATCCCATGTGGGCATTTACACTTAAAAATGGGTGGAACTTCTCAGCCTGGAGTTGTATCGAATTACTCATAAAAAATCTCTGAGGTCTTTGTGTGGACCAGGATATTTGGTCCAAATATTTGGGTATTTCTTACAGTTTTTTGAGAAAAGGACTGCGGCCTCACAAAGTGAAAACTAGTCCTGCTTTTCTCTGGATTTAAAAATAACTCTGTATCTTGGAAAGCTGTCTCAGCAGAAGTGAAGGAGTGAAAAAAAAAAAGTATATTACATCCCCATGGTTTCATGCAGTGCAGCTGTGCTAACAGTGTGTTGGGAAGGAAAGGCATGAAATAGTCCATGAAATAATCAGTGAATCTAATGGTAAAGCTTTATGCAGTGAAGAGACTGATGGCTCAAGTATCCTACTGCAAATAACCAAGGGACAGGGAGAAGGTGCCATCATTTTCTAGGGGAAAATATCCAGAATGCAAATACATTCTAATTAAATCAGTGGGTGTCTGATAGGAAGCCTGCCTTGAATTACAATATCTTTAAATGCTCATACAATATATTTGGATTAAATATGCATATTCAGATGGATTGAAAGTTTTATTTCTGGTTAAATATCTGTAGAATGGTAATCAGATCAGGGAAAGCCATGCCTCCAGATGTCATTAAGAATTCAATTTTAAAAAATCATTCCGTATAGTCTATAAGTTGATGACTGGCTTTCAGTTGTTCTTGCTATATGTTTTTTAGACCTTTTAAATTTTTTCTATACTGTGTGATTATATTTTAAATTATTTGGAAGAGATGTTGAGTCTACAAGTATTTATACAGAGATATTTCATTCCTCCCATGCGCAGTATTCTAAAGCTTCAATATAGTTTAAAACATAGAAGTGAGCATGTGTCAACATACCATCTCCAACAGCCTTTCTTAGATCTTGAGCTACTCAGTAGTAGTACAGGAATAATGGAACATTATTGACCAAATGTAATGCACAGTTGCCACAACAGATTTATTCCCTATATGTCAACTCTAAAGAACAAGTGGTTAGTTTATAACCCTCCTTGGGTTACAGCATTTTAACATTTCTTCAGTGTTTATTTATTCTCCTCCCGAAGAATGTTCTGGAATATTGAGTTTACAACCTGTGGCTCATGTGATGGTAGTGGAAACAATTAAGCCAGAAGCTTTCAAAGCCGCCACTGGGATTTTGATGCCCAAAGTCATTAATTTTAATAAGAAGTGAGCTGCCGTTCCTCTTAAGTGGTTTCTAAAATCTCAACCCATAAAAACACCTCTCCACCGATTCCAGTTTACTAGGAGTTCAGAGCAAGATAAACATGTGTAACAGAATGGTAGGTGTTAAATGGTGGAAAGTATGTGTTCAGATGTCTCTAAAAGCATTCAAGGAACAGAGTGGTGGCCCCAAGGTTTTACTGGCAGATCTAGTCTGATGTGGTGGCTGCTCCTGCCGTCATCATCTCAGGGGATTGCAGATGGGATCTCATTGCTGACTGATCAGAACGTGAGGTAGAGTTTTGTTGAGAACAAGTCAATGGAAAGAGAAATGTGAGCAGTAGATCAGTTTCAGCCATGATGTTCACCCTGCTTGTCAACTTTGTTTTCTTGCATCTGCTCCATGCTGTTGCCTTCTTAAGATGTTTCTGCATACCATAACCTTTATGTCTACTGTAACCTGAAGGATTTATCCACTGCAAATCTGTGAGAGCCTTTCCTTTTACACGACTCTGTAGATGACATTGCTTCAGCCATGGGTGGAGTGACTGTGATCGGTGTCTCTCAGTCTAAGAAGTTGTGAAAACTTCGGAGAGTTCCAAGATATCTCTTGGAGAAAGAAAACTGCTGCAATGATGAAACCTCATGCTCAACATGAATCGTGGAAGAAAGTCTTACTAGGAAAAAATAGCCAGTACCAGCAGATCTTTCTGTAATGTGAAATAGAGCATGGGATGAGTATGAATGAGTTTGAAACTGATTCAAGAAAAGTCTAAATGCTTGGAGAAGGAAAGGAAAAAAAAAAAAAAAAGGAAAAAACCCTCACAAAATAGGGATTTTCTTGTCTTTTATTAATGAAAAGAATTTTCATTGGAGAATTTTAGAATTAATTTAAACAAGCATCTTTTTTTTCCACATCTGTCATGTGATCTCTGAAAAATGTCATTACTGTTGGCTACAGTGACAAAATTACTGCAGTGTTTGCCAGTGAGTCTCTCTCCCAGTAGCAGCAATTAATGCTCAGTAGCTGTTGGAAGGAGCTGTAGGTAAAATGTGATGCAGTAGACAATGATTCTGAGTGCTCTTGTAATGGACTTCAAAAGCACAAAAGAAAAAAAAAAAAGGCTGCCATTAGTAGTAGATGTGACTTTTTTTGGAACTAAATGTTCCTTAAATTAAACATGTGGTTTCACTTGCAGTTCATTTTGTACATTGTCACCAATGAAGTTTAGGATTTCTTATTACTTTTTCTTTAAAATATCTTGCTGGTTTCACTCAGAAGGCAAAACTTTTCACGTGGCTTTAATCGATTCTGTCGTAAAAGCGATAGCATCCATGTAATAGAAATAGTTTTGCAGACCACAGCTTCATATTGGCTATTATTTCTCTTCCATTTTCTTTACCTACAACTCATTGGGCCATCCCAGAGACAGAAAAAGTTCCTCTTTTGCAATTAAGACCAAATGGAAACTTTCGCTGAAGTTAGAAAACAAAATCACTTTGTGTCAGTACTGCTTTATTAGATTTTTGTCTCAGATATCTTGGCTCTCAAATGCAAGCTAACATGGCTGCATATCAAAGAAGAGAGTTTATATTGACTTTTTTTTTCTAAAATTAGTGAAATTCTAGAAGATGAAGTCAATAGAAGGCCTTTCGCTGCACAGTTCAAGAGTGATGCAAGAGATGGTAGTATTTCAAACAGAAGTTAAGAGCTCTGGTAATATAGCTTCATGGTGGTCCTAGAGAGGCCATTTACCTCCTTTTTTTTTTGCTTCACTTCCCCAGTACACAGAAACTGCTAGAGTTTGGGTCTCACAAACCTTATCCCAGCAGCCTTTCTATTATACTATGCTGTTGTCAACAGCCTGGGCTTCCCTGTCACTAGCCCTAGTTTGGATGAATGAGTGTAATTATTGTTGCAGTCAAAACAATGATTTGTTTCCAACAAATGATGTCCAAAGTTGGGGAAAAAAAAAAAAAAAAGGGAACTATTGTTATCTTATTTGGGTTTTTTTGCATCTTTTAAGGTATTCGTTAGTTAACAAGTTAAATATAAGCTAAATAAAATATAAGTTGAGTAGTTTTCCTCAGAGTTTTGCTATTTAGAGTTTACTTGATAGTTTTCTAGGAAACGCCACTGCTGTGCTTCGTCACTGTTCCAGAGCAAAAGCCTCTCTCGTGGCACACCTTAGCAGCTAGCAGCACTCAACAAGAATAGTCCTTTGCTTTCACCTTTTCTTAGCATTCTCTCTCAACTTACTTATCAAATACATATCAAATATGTTTTGCAGTTCAAGAATGACCAAGATGAGTCCTGCCTTACAAGGGTCCTCAGCAACAGCCCTGCCTGCTCTGCAGCTTTCTGAACAGGTCCCACTGACATCTCCTTCCCTGAAGCCTCTACAGATGGATGAAGAAGACAGCCTGTCTCCTCATCTCTTGTTACCAGACAGCATCAGCCAGCTGGAAGAGTTCGGCAGACAGAAGAAATGGCACAAGAAACAGCACAAACACCATCGCCAGAGGCAGTTCAATGACCTCTGGGTTCGGATAGAAGACAGGTGAGTCATAACTTTTATGATTCTTGTCCTCTTCCTGCTGCCCTTTACAGATTCCAGCTTTGTTGAGTCGACCATACAACAGGTTGGAGAAAAGCTAACTGGGAGAGATGAGGAGTAAGGTGTTGTTTTTGGAACATAAGGAGGAACTCAGAGGAAGGCTAATAGGAATATTTAATCTAAAAGTCAAGAGCGAAAGCTGATGGTTAGAATGCTTAAAATACAGAGAAAGTACAGTAAAAAAAAAAAAAAGAAAGAAAAATATTGTTTCCCCTTCTTATCCAATAATAATTTTCCAATCTTTACTGTCAGTTTTCAGCCCAAAGACTGAGCCATCTTCCAAACTTTAAGATTCTGACATGTCTAGCTTACCTAACTTTCAATCTTCAATATTTTGATACTGAAAGTATTTAACACCTCCAACACCTCTGTTGTTGCCTTGGAAACAACAAAGTTAAGCATCCTGAGTCTAACCACACTGGGTGTGTATGTATCTGTCTGACTGTCTAACAACTTATCTATTTATGGCTTGTTAGAACCAACTTAGGGTATGTTGCACCTGAAAATCACAGTACATCCTTCAGAAGTATTCATTGCTGTATGTTTCTACACCTTCGAAACTGAGGAACAGGCAAAGTCATTCCCATTTTCACAACATCTAAATGCCTTGCATTCCAAACAAGTCAGAGTTTCTTACAAGTTTCTCCTTTTACCAATGAAAAAGGCTCTCTACATACTTGTGTTCTGTATTTTTTTTTTTAATTATTTTGTTCATTCTTTTTAAAGAAGCAGTTGCCTTGCTTCTGTTGTGTTTTATTGTATTCTTTTCTTAGGATGAGTGATGTAAGTGTTGTTGTTACAGCAGAATATAATAATCTTACTGTGGTAGGATTATTCTGATGCTGATGCCAGCCTTGGTAAGGAGGATTGTATCCAAATTGTTTTTTTTTTTCCTCAAAATTTGTTCAGTGTTGGATTCTCTCTGTGGAAGATGTTTTAGCATGAGGTAAAAAGCATCTGGTGCTATGTATTTGGCTGCCCCAAAGACAAGGGGCTTCTCTGTTCATCTTCCACCCGAGGGATGCCAAATGTTGGTGTCCCAGCATTTCACGTGGGTGTCTGATCCAGCTCACTGCATGTGTAATATGAGTGAAGTCCTTAAACAGTAAAGTCTTATAAGAGTTTGGCAGTTAGCCGCGTTCCTTCTGCCCTCGTCTTATCTATACAGAAAGGATATTGGATATTGGGCCTGATACTGCTATGGAAATGTGCAACTGGGGACTTCAAGCTGCAGTGCTTGCATAGCTTTGGCAGTCTTGTGTTCCTTTTGTTGTTTTTGTTTCAGTATTAAATATTCCTAGAAAAAGTGTTTCAAAGGGTAGCTCTCCAGGCTAGAGTTAAATTATTCACTCTGCGCTGGTGAGAGATTTCATCTGAACTGAAACCTTTTATCCCTTTACTTCCATTTCAGAGGGATGGAGATTGGGATGAGGAAACACAGGTTTCCGTTCCCACCAAGCTGGTGATGAACCAGACACTGTGTGTCGCCTGCTTGCTGAAAGATCCCAGGGAGATGTTAGTGGGAGATTACAGTCCTAGAAGCAAGGAAGGGCTGGAGGAAGGGAAGTTTGCCTTAGTGCTTTCAGATGGCTTTAGTTCTTCTATACTTCTGGAGATACTTCTGCTGTTTTCCTGGAAACAAAACAAAACAAAAACTACAAACTGTTCAGCTAAATCAGAGACTCAAAACCAGCCCTGGTTTCTTCATAAACTGGCTGGGATCTCAACTTTCATAAACTGGGTGCTGCATATTCTGCTTTTGGCAGTCGGGTTTCATCAGTTTTAATTGCAAGCTGGACCTTGCACAAGGCAGTAAACAGTGTGTTCTTTCTAACTGGTTTCTTTCTGATTGGCAAGGAAAGAACAGAAATTTGTGTCTGTCCCTAGGCTTTGATGCATGATTGTTCTTGGGAAGAAACAGCTAGGGTGACTAATATGGGCAAATAAGTGTTACTTGCACAGCAGAGAAACACATGGACTTGCATCATATTACCACATTAAAGTTCATCAGCACTGAAGGGTGAGGCTGTTAGCACTCATTTTGGGAGGATATCTGGTAGTACTGGAAGCTCATACTCGGACCTGACTTAAATTGGAGCACCGTTGTGTCTGTCTACAAAGCCACTCTGTGTGGACTGAGCTCTGATCATGTAGTATTATGGCTTTCCACATGGTTCTTCTTCCCATTTAAGTTTCCTAACTCACCCGAAACTTTATTTTGAGACACAATAGGGAGATTTAGTTCATTGTTACTTTGGGGGGGAGTGAAAGCTGTGTAAAATTCATTGTTTCCATGAAAAGTCTCCAGAATTCATCTGTTTGAGTCATCTTTCAACCTGAAAAGTCAGAGAGAAATATACAGGTCAGGGACAAATCCAGGTGACTTTATGCCAGATTGCTGATTTTTGTATGTACCTCATTGAACTGTGAAATGACTGTGGTTCATACAGCTTTTTTCCAAAGCTTTATTGACCATGGGTTAGAGGATTTGATGAGCCATGAATTGCAGGACTTTTATGGACTATGGATTTCTCAGTTATCTCATACACTCCTGTGGAAATCTTAAGGTGTTTTTTTAAGCTACCAGCACAGAAACAAAGGAAATGAACACAGGAGAACAATCTTAAAGCAACATCAAAGTTCTGACTCCAGCCTATAAAAGCCAGGAAATCCATAATTAATGGTTCCACTAAGACCTCATCTTACACGGTCTTTCTGGTCTGATCTGAGGTTATAGCTACAATCTGAAATGGCCTCGTGAAAAATGAGTCATCATTTAATGTCACACATCATTATTAGTATTTACTTTCAGTTATACCTTGGAGATTGTCCTTTCCTTTTTGTTCTGTCTTAGCAGCTGAGACATTCGAATTGGCAACCCTGAGTGGACGCTGTTTAGATTTATGTGTTTGAAGGCTAGTACTGCTGTGGAGGATGAGAAAGCTTCTGCTCTGTCTTCTCCTCCTCTCTGACAGAACTAAGATTTGCTGATCTCCTGGGTAATTGGCTACACTGAACAATTCAGTGAAGGCTAATAAAAAAGTAAAAAACATTGATGAAATCTGTGGTTTCCTCTCCCATCTGCCTCCTTCCCTCTGAATCTAAACAAGATGAAAACGTTCTGCCTGGCTACAATTCACGTTTGAAATTGTTTCTTGAGAATCAAAATGAAATGGAGATTTCAAGTAGCAAGACTTTTTTTTTTTAATTATTTTATTTTAATGACTTGATTTTACAGATCTGAAGCCTGCCTTTGGGAGGAATTTGAAGGCAGACAGTATTAAGACTCTAGCTAGCTTTCATAGCCAAAAGCCAACTGGGGCAGTGAGAAGGGGAGGCGAAGCCCTTGCAGTGGAAAGCTGCAGTCTGGCACACAGTGTATGTCATTGTTCCTGATGACACTGTGTTAGCTCAGTTTCCTCTATAATATATATAATTAATTACAGATCATTCACTGCCTATTCATGATGAGCTGCTAAGTGAATTGAAAGAACAGAGAAATGCCTGTGAAGTTTCAAAGTAGCGAGCAAAGGCCAAATCAGCATTGCACCTTTGTTCTAGGGCAGGCAAAAAGCTCAAGGTTACAAACCAACAGCCCAAACAAATGGAGCACTCTCTCAAGGGGAGTGGGAGCATTACAGCAGGGTGGGAGGGAGGCTCCTGAGTAAAAGGAAGCAGAGTTAGTAGCCGGGAGAGTGTTTGGGAGGTGTGAGGCTTAGAAGGAGCAATGGCAGCTAGAGGGTGTGGAAGAGGAATACAATAGTGAGTAGAAAGAATTAGAGAGGACATCATGGGTAGATCATCCATTCCTATTGCCAAAGCGGAGATCTGAGCAAAGCCAGCACTTGGTTATTGAGGACGCACAGATGCTTCACTTGCATAGAAAAGAAATTAAAGGAAAAGAATTGTGATGAGAAAAAAGAGATTCTTGTCCTAGATGTAAGCTTAGCTCTGCAAAACCTACCATTAATGGGAAATGAAATGAATTTGCCTTGTAATTGGAAAGGGCATTTTTCTGATAGCCCAGTGCTGACTACACAACCCCAGATGAATGCAGTGACATCACAAATATCAATTTATTTTATAAGCAATGGTTATTTTAGAGAGGAAAAAATATATATACCAGTGATGGATGAAGGGGATATAGTGTGTAATAAACTGCAGTAAGTGTGCCTGTATAAAGTGAACCTTATCAGTTTGGATGGAATTTAAGCACTTAGGCTGTTATCCTTTCTTTTAAGACAATGCGGTGATGGAAAACAGAACACTGTCAACTCAGACAAACTTTTAATTTCACTTAACTGCATCTGAAGGGTAAATTTCAGTAAATGAATCCAAATTGCTTCCTTTTCACAACACGCAGTGCTGAAATACAGTACTTAGCTTCATTAAAGAAAAGGCTGCTTTTCTTTAGAGGAGACCTAGACACTTTTGAAGTCTAACAGGTAAATTGTGGTCAGATGATTTCCCCTCACATGGTAGCTTTGAGATTGAAATTTCCATCACTGGGGCCTTGTTTGTTTAAATTACCCTCTCTGCCTCTCTGGGAAGGATACTGCTGGAGGCTGCATGCCTACTGCAGGGGATTGCTGCCTCCTCCAGCCTCCATGCAGCCAGCAGAATAGTTGTCCCCACTGCACATGCCCTGTGTTCAGCTTAACCTTGTCCAAAGGCCAAAGATTAGGAAGTAGCTTTGGGGCTTTCTAACTCGTTACAGTGTACCTGCCTCCCATGGGGACCCTACCAGCAGCCAGGAGCAGTGGAAGCATAGGCGTGTTGAAGTCACACCTCCCCTCCCCTTGTCACACCTCATTGCTGGTTGGGGCCAGCGTTGTGTGGCCCGTTGGCTTTCCTCCAACATTTCTGCCTGCCATTTCCTTTGCTGTTCCCCTGGCAGGATTTCCTCCTCAGGAAACTTTCATGATCGCAGTCCCTATCAGTAA